GCAGCAGCTCAGGAAACCCCTAGCAAAATCAATATGAAAAAGCCCTTACCTAGCACATGATAATCAAACTGCTAAAAAACAAAAATAAAGAACAAGTCTTGAAAGCAGTCTGAGAAAAATGCATTTCCTCTTGGTTATTGTTAACTTCATATCTGAAACAACAAAGGCTAGAATACAGTGCAGTGACATATTTAAGGTGGTGCTGAAAGAAAAAAAATTACATCCAGTGAAAATATCCTTGAAGAATGAAGATGAAATAGAAACATTTTCAGATTTAAGAAAAAGAAACTAAAAGGATTCATCATCAGAAGTCCAGTACTACAAGAATTACAAAGAACATTCTTCAGGCTGTACAAAATGATACTAGATGGAAATATGAATCTTCAGGAAGGAATAAAGAACACTGGAAATGGTAAACAGCTGGGTAATTTTATATAAAATAGTTAAGAATAATTCTAAAAGGCCATAGAACATTAAGGATAGGTATTATAATTCCTGTAGGAATTAGTTGAAATATATAATGGGAACAGGTATAGCTAAACAGCCAATAGATAGATTAAATATAAATTCTAAAATATATTCAAGTTGATCCAGAAGAAGGCATAAAAGGATAAACAGAGGAACAAATCAACAGGAGTAACAAACAGAAAATGAATAACAAAATGATAGACATAAGTCCAACCCTATGAATGAAAGTAATTCAATGGTGATAGGAGTCTTTCAACAAATGGCATTGAAATAAGTGGATTATCCATATGGAAAAAAAATTGAACCCTAGCTCACACTGTACACAACTATTAATTTGCCATGGATCTGCCAAATCCATAATAAAAATCAAAATCACAGTGCTTTTAGAAGAGAACCTAGGAAAACAGTTTCATGACTTGGGGATAGGCAACATATTTTTTAGGCAGGATACAAAAGCGATCATGGATTATGAAAAATGATAAATTCTACTTCAACAAGAACAAAAACTTCTGCTAGCAAAAGTCACTGTTAGGAAAAAAGAATAGACAAGCCACAAAGTAGGTAAAAACTGAGATTTATTTAGAAGGGGACTATTTATAAGGATGTGATCAGGATATAGGGAAACCAAAAGAGATAGTGCTGGACCAGAGCTGGTAACAGCAGAGGGCAAGAAGAGGTTACTGGAACATAGAAGGAGAGAATCACGTGGAAAAAGTCACCTTTTATAAAAGCTGAGCCCACTTCTAACTTCAGGTGTAAAGCATTGATATGTTAGCTTTATTAATGCCCCTGGCTCTTGAGATTTGTTCACGGATGGGAATGTGACATGAGTTGACTCAATGAGAGTGAATTGAGGAGTTGTGATCTCCAGAATGCAGATCAGTGACCTTCAGTCAAGAAACATAGCCAGCTTGGGGCAATCCCATAGCATAAGAGCCAGGGAAAAAAAACAGCCTACCATGACTCTCTTCCATCTCTCGTATCTTTCACTAGGGCTCCCTTTTAACTGATCCAGCCAGAAGCCAAGGGCAGGGAAGCTGGTTGATACAGTCGTAGGAGACACTGTAGGGGGCCCACCCTCATCACCTTGGCGTTTACATTCCCATATGATTTTTGTCAAAATCACATTTTAACATTTTTATTATATGATTACACAGGACTTGCCAACAGGACCATTCCAGAAGTCCCCATAGACACATGATCAGATCTCTGCCAACTCTCAGCTTCCCAGCTCCTTCAGCTCTCACACTACCCATCATAAGTTTAGGGATTCCAGAAAGCATAGTCTTGGACAGCACATTCATGGTGCCTAACAGACTCCTTTCTGAGAAAGCTCAGCATAACTTCCATACCCACAGCTTACTGTGGAAGATTCCCTTACCCCTTCGTTGCCATGCTTTTTAACACTCCATCTTGGGTTGATTAAGCCAGGTATCTGTACATTTGCCTGTGATGTTTGACAGAGATTTTGAAATTGTAACTGACTGACTGAACTAAAATTTGAATGTGAGACAGAGTCAGGTAACTGGTAGTATTTGTAGCAGAAAGCAGCTAAATCACTAGTATAATAGAGCACTTGAATAGAGTTAGATTCTAACTTCTGAGAAGATTTTTTTAAAAACCAGATTTGCTAAATCTCAACTGTTTCTTGAACCAATTTTCAATTTTTCGAGAGGCCTGCTAGGGTTTTGTGCTATATCCCAATAAACCTGAAGAAACCCTAACAGATCTCAGTTCCTTGCAAACTTAATATACCCAATTGTATCTTACCTTTCATTCAGTGACAGGCATAAAAGAAAAAGGAAACTTACTGCCTTCACAGTTGAGCAGTCTTGAAGTAGTCAAGTGAAGTTTGATCTAGCCACCCAATTATATCACCAAGGACTTTTCTCATTGTCTATTCCTTCTGCCATCTACAGTGTTGGCTTCATTTCTAGGTTTCAGACAGAACCTATCCTCTCAGCTCTTACCATTTTATTATCAAGTGCTTAGAGGGGTAGAGAAAAAACTTCTGATAGTTTCTGTACAAGTCTTGAGATTCACTCTCATTGAGTCAACTCATGTCACATTCCCATCCGTGAACAAATCTCAAGGGCCAGGGGCATTCATAAAGCTAACATATCAATGCTTTACACCTGAAGTTAGAAGTGGGATCAGCTTTTATAAAACGATCTGACTTACTAAAGATATGGGGGCTATGAAGAATGAGGTAAGTGGAGAATGGATGCTGAAAGCAACACACCTATCCACATATGTCCACCACCTAGCCTAAATGGCAACCCAAAGATATACATACCTCTTCCAGTGACTTATTGAGCCCTGGCATTTGGCTTTAGGACTTCAAAGACCATTTCAAATATTTCAGATATATTTTATTAAGCTCTGGTAAGCCACACCAAAGGGGAAAGATGGGTCTATCCCAGGACTTGTCTCTCTACTGAACTGAAGTAACATCTATGATCAGCCATCTTCTTCCTGCCTCCTACTAAAACACACGGACATACACACACTGTTAAAGTATTCAATTCTTGCATGGGTCAAAATCCACACAGAAAAGATGCTTCATGCAATAACTCTGGAGTTTCTCTAATATGGAAGTTAAGGGTTTTTAGCATTTTAATGAGGTACCAATTAGATATATTCATCCCCATTTCATACCGACCCTGTTTCCTATTATTTCTCTCCTACCTGCAAGGCCCATGAGCTATCTAAATCAAAGCAGACTTATAGAACTCACACTTGGTAATAAGCCAATGGAACACAAGATACAAACAATGTTAATTTATTCCTTTACTATACAAATAAAAAAGTTAATAAGACACCTTGAAAAGATAATAAAGAATATGTTTTTAAAAATTAGGCATACAGTTAGTTTGAGCTGTTAGCATATTGTCCTTGATTACAGAATTTTAAAGTAAAAATGTCCACTGATTCACAAGAAAAGGCTCTTATAATTTGTTTAAATTTATATGTGTTTCAACAAATTAAATACCCTCTTGCATCACAATGAACTTGAATCCATACCTTCCATCATATATGAAAATTAACTCAAAATGGATCATAGACCTAAAAGCTAAAATTATACAATTTCTGGAAGAAAATAGAGGAGAAAATATTTGTGACCTTTGGTTAGGCAAAGATTTCTTGGAAATTATGTCAAAAGCACAATCTATAAAAGAATAATTTGAACCTCACTAAAATTAAAAACTTCTGTTCTTCAAAAGACAGTTAAAAGTGTGAACAGACAAGCCATAGACTGGGAAATAATATTTGCAACTCATATATATCTGGTAAAAAAAATGTATTCAGAATATACAGTTGATCCTTGGACAACATGAATTTGAACTACCGTGGCCTACTTTATATATGGACTTTTTTTTATAAATACAATATCATACTATAATGTATTTCCCTTCCTTAATATTTTCTTAATATTTTCTTTTCTCTAGCTTATATTATACTTATACAAAATATGTGTTAAATTGACTGATTATGTTATTGGTAAGGCTTCCAGTTAACAGTAGGCTATTAGTAGTTAAGTTTTGGGGGAGTCAAAAGTTCTAAGCAGATTTTCAGCTATGTGGGGGAGTTATTGCCCTTAACCCCAACGTTGCTCAAGGGTCAACTATAAAAATAGCTCTCAAAATAACACATTTTAAGAATGGGCAAAGAAAATTAATAGACACTTCACCAAAGAAGATATAGGAATGGTAGGTAAGCACATGAAAAGATGTTCAACAGTATTAGTCAATAGGAAAATGCAAATTAAAACCACAGTAAGACACCACTTTGCATCTGTTAGAATGCCTAAAATTAAAACTATTGATCACATCAATGTTGTTGAGGATGTAGAGGAATTAGAACAGACCCCTAATGGGAATGCAAAATAGTACAAAACTTTGGGGAAAGTTTGGCAATTTCTTATAAAGTTAAATATATACCTACCATATAATCTAGTCATTCTGTTCTTATTCATTTATTCGAGAGGAAAGCATATGTCCACACAAAGACTTTTCCACAAATGTTCATAGCAACTTTATTTGTAATTGCTAAAAACTGGAAACAACACAAAGAAAGGTCCATCAATAGATGAATGAATAAACAAACTGTGGTATACGGATATAATAAAATACCATTCAGCAATAAAAATGAATGTACTATTGATACATGAAGTAATATGAGTAATTAAAATAATTATGATGAATAAAAGGAGCCAGTCTCCAAAAGAGAGTGCATAATATATGAGTTCATTTATATAAAATTATAGAAAATGGGAACTAGGCTATAGTGACAGAAATTGGATCAGTGGTTGCCTGGCAGTGGGGGGTGGGAGGCAGGGAGGACATGAGGGATGGATCACAAAGGGGCACAAAGAGGGAATTTCTGGGGGTATGACTATGCTCCCTGTCTTGGTTGCAGTGAACATTCAACAAGTGTACATATGGCAAAACATCAAATTGTACAATTTAAATGTGTGCAATTTTTTGTATGTCAATTACATTTTAGTAACATGTTAAATAAATAAATATTTACTGCTTGCTTCACAGCATATATACTAAAGTTGGAAAGATACAAAGAAGACCAATATGGCCCCTGCACAAGGATGTGAAGCAAATTCGTGAAGCATTCCATATTTATAAATACATACATACATACATACATTAATGACATTTAAATGTGTTTGTTGAAAATATCCAGCCATGTTGTCATTTGACAACATTTACTGAATACTTCCATGTACTGAAGCTATAAGAAAATGCATGAGACAGCCCTGTACTCCAAAGGCTTTCAAAGTTGTTGGCGAGTTCTCATTTTGAACTCGTGGGGTTGGAGCTATTTGTAGGACATATAATATAGATTTAGGATCTAGAAGTCTACAGCCAAGGAACAAGGTATGAGCTGAAAATATAGATACTGGAGTTGGGATACAGAGAGCTAACAAAAACCTTGCATGAGAGAGGAGTCTAGAAATAGATTATAAACTGAAAAGTGAAAAGACTGAGCCCAGAACACTGGGGACACCAACCATCAGAGGCAGGAGAGGGAAGATGTGTCCAGTGTGAGATGGGTAGGAGGTGATCGGAGAGCTTGGATAAGAACTCTGAATGATGGCACAGAGGAGCTGAGCCTTCTCCAAAAGAAGGTGGTGTCAGAGGAGGCCATAGATAAGGAATGAACAATGTCAGTTGAATTTGGTAAATAGGAAGTCTCTTGGTGACAGCATTTTGGATGTCATTGTAGAGAGGAAGCCAGACACCAGTGCACTAATATTCTTGCATTGCACTTTGGTTATCGTAAAGGAGGCAGAAAAGAATCAGTTTTAGACATTTGGATCATCCCTTGTCAGATAAGATTCTATAGCACACCAGAGCACTGAAAAGATAACATGTGAGTCTAAACTTCTGGTTTTTACTGCTCTTCTCTTTCATTTCTCCAGATAAACACAATCATACTCTCCTAATTTTCATCAGAATTAATGGCAGGCACTACTTCATTATTCTCTTTCTCCTGCACTCAAGCACTTCATTTAAATCCTTTATTTGTCTCTAGCTCCATCTCTGTCCTGCAAACTGAATTTCCACTTTCTCCTCTCCTCCCCATCTTCAGGCATCTTGACATCTGGGTCTGACATGCTGGTGGGTGGGGATTGTAGTGTCAGATCAGGGATAGCCTAGAGAGTTTGATCACCAGACTGTGAGAAGCCAAATGTAGTTGATCTTCTAGATGGGAACTACAGTTTCTCATGAAACCTTTGCATGCCTTGAAATCTTCTATATGTCTCTGAAATCTTCACTACCAATGCAGTTCACTCTTTAGAATAATGACCTACTTGGCCCCCTTCCCTGAGGTGGCCCCTCTCTGTTCACAGCCACCAGGCACTTGACTGCTCTCTCTAGACCATCTGCTACCCTGCTTTTGACTTATTGGCAAAAGGCAATGCTGGTGGGTGACTTTAGAATTTGGGTTTAAGTAGCTCTTTCAGAGAAGTAGGCTTCAAGTAGTATTGCTAGTTTGGCTCTTATCTTATGTCCTTGTCCTAGTAACTATGCTTCTTCCTTCTTTTCTACCTTGTACTAGAATTCTTGAAATAAAATCCCCATCTCTGCTTCCTTCCTTTTCCTTGGTACCTGGCTTATTGGCTGGCTATATCAGATAAGAATTTAATTTGGTACTAAAGTAGTGAACAACAGTGGCTTAAACAAGATAAAAGTTTATTTTTCTCTAATATAAAAGACACCCAGAAGTAGATAGTCCAGGAATGTTATGATGGTGCTTCAGTGGTCAGGGACCAAGATTCTGTCTTTCCTTCTAGAATAACATCGTTAGTACTGTTTCTATTTTCAAGGTTACTTCATGGCCCAAATTGTCTGTTGAAGCACTAGCCATCATTGCTGTCTTTCAAGGAAAAAGCACAAGAAAGAGGTAATGGGGGGTGGGAGGGGAGTAGGCTGGATAGAGGAGGCACATAGCTCTTTGTTCTCTTCTTACAGAACTTTCTAGAAAGTACTACCTAGTACCTTATTGTGCAAACCAATCAAAACAAAGGTTCTAAGTAAGAAGGAAAGAATGGATTTTTGGATAGATAATCAGAAGTCTCTGATATAATTGCTCAGCTTAGGAACTTTTGCCATTCATATTATATCCACCTCTTTCCCTGGACCAGTGTCCTAACCTATCTCTCTGAGCCTAATATCTGCTGATGGACTTCTACAAATCTGACTGCCTGCTGTTTACCCATCTGGGTCTCCAAATTTTGTCTGTTTCTAGAGTTTCTATTGCTATCAAGTGTCAATATACTTGTTTAAATTACTTGATTAGTCCTAATTGGGCTTCGATGATGTTGACACCAGGTTTGGACTTCTTGTCTATGAATTCCTGGTGAACAATACTTTCCAGTATTGCCAAAGATGCCTGAAGTTCCCTCAGGGACAGGAAGATAGATGAGCATAGTACACAAGAGGCAAATGTGGAGAAGGGTGATGACAATCATTATGTCGGACAGAAACACATCTGTTCTGAAGTAAGCAGATCCTTGCCCTGCTTGAACTACAGCATCTTTTTCTCCTCCTTGTCTAATCAGTTGTCATGTCTGGGATATGCCCCTGCATCCAAGGCCTTCATTTTCTGTTTGCTAACCAGATTGCTACCTTCCAAAATTTCTCCCCATTGTGGCCTCCTTGGCTCAGAATAATTTCTGGCTGTAATTCTTCAGTCTTAGACTTTATCTTAGAAATTATGTTTTCTTCACTTTCTCCTTCACCTGAGCTGTCAGATGCCCATTCTCAATAATAGCATCTCCAGGCTCTACCCCTGAGAATGGTGATAAACAAATTTGTGAGAATAGGCTCATACTGGCTTGAGAGAGCCGATTGTTAAATTTAAAATATATTAAAAATACAAATAAATATATAAAGTTGTTGAACTGTTGATAGCTTGAAACAGGCTGTGATAGGAGTATTTAAAACATGGAAATTGACAAATGCTACCAATTAGGGCCTTTTATTCCCCTAAAAAGTGGTTTAGTAGCACACCATTGCTTGTTTCTCTCCATAATCGTCCTTTGTGCATATGCATGTGTGCGTGCACGCACACACACACACACACACACACACACACACACAGCGGACAGTCTAACTCCAGATCCTCATCTCTTCAGTCTATCTCTTAGCTTTCAATGGCAGATAATCTTTTAATACTTAGCTACATCCAACAATTCAATATTTTGGCTCCTACCTTAAAACAAACACTTGTAACAGTTGATAATTGAATATATATTTTAGAAATACATTCTGGACCCTAAATAGACTTATCCAAAACTCCTGACCACACCGTTTGAAAACTGCTAATGTAGCATATCTGTCCGTCTGCAGAACACATATAACCATACGCAGAAATCATTTGTGGGGCGGGGGGGGGGGGGGGGGAACCTAGATACTTAAAATGGTGTTTCAGTAGAGGGAATTCATGTATCAGCATCAGACATGCCTCATCACAGAATATTAGCTTCTTTAAACTTAATATTTGAAGGAAGAGAGTCAATTTGTTATTATAGGTATTTCAGAAAACCTTGTGTAAACTGTGCAATGAAAAAGCTTCATAAGCCAACCAAAATTGTCAAGTTGCTTTGCCTTTGACAAGAATTATCAATTCAGATAATTCTGTTGCCTCACAATGATCAGGAGCTTTGTGACACATATCTTTGATGAATAACAATAAAAAATGAATTATTGCTTATCATTATAGTATTTTAGTAAATAAAACCATCCAAAACATGGAAGGGAAAATAATAGAAGGATGATGGAAAGCTAGGGACCACTAGACTATGAATTTTTTAACAGTGTGTCAATTTCTTACTTTAAAAGTCCAATGTTTATACACATGTTTATAAACATTAGAGTTTCCACATATAGTGACTAGAAGCACAGGCTCTGGAGACAGACTTCCTGGATTCGTATTAGAGTTTCGTCACTTACTAGCTCTATGATTTGGGTCAAATTACTTCATCTCTCTGTGCTTCAGTTTTCTCACCTATGAAACAGAAATAAAAGCACCTACCTTACATGATTACCATGAAACCAAAATGAAATGCCCCATAAAGTGCTTAGAATGATGTCTGGTATGTACCAAACAACTAATAAATATTTGCTATCATTTTTATTATTAATGCTATTTTTGGAGTGCTTATAATGTGTCAGCAACTGTGCTACATGCTTTAGATTCAATCTCCTGTAACAGTGTGAGGTACAAATTAGGCCCATTTTATAAGGAAATAGACCCTCAATGAAATGATATAACTTTTCCAAGTTCTCCTGGATGGTAAGTGAAAGAGCCTGGCTCAATGTGGTCTAGGAGTTCCCACTTAAATGATAGAAAGGTGTAAAACCAATCCATTCCATCCTGATATTTAGTATTCTATTGGGAAATTCTTCCTTCGTAGTCAACCGAACCCCTGCATGCTGTAGCATAAACTATTCTTGTTCTGTCTTCAGCAAATACAGAAAAACCCAATAACATCCTGTGTTTCCACTCAAAGACATTAAGTTTCCCTTCTGACTTGTTTTCTCCAGGTTTTGAAAACACACAAGTCCCACAGGCCTTCTTCATGAACTGTATTTATTAACCATAGAATAATCTCTGCAGAAGCATTTCCACATTCTCTAACCATAATTTTAAAATTAGACTTTAAATCTGAAGTTCATTATTAATGTAAGTAGGGTGCAGTATCCTTTGGCTGAACTTGCTTTGTTTATGAAGCAGCTGGATATAAGGGTCCTTATCCCGTTTTAGACTTTCTTATCCCACCTTCTTATCTAGAAGCTGCTGTCCACAAAGTGTCCCGACATAATAAGAATTCAAAAGCTTTTCAAGTTTGCACATCATTTTATTTCATGGGGGTGAGTACAGATTCATTTACATTTAGTTGTGAAACCAAGAAGACATTTAAATAGTTATGTGGACTGGTGTTCCTTAAAAGATGAATATTATGTCATTGTTAATCATTCATTCATTTATTCTCCTTGTCTGAGTCAGGCACTGTGCTAGATACGGGGAACAAAAGACACAGTCCCTTCTCACAGGGAATGTGCAGGTCTCATCAGGGAGATAAATGCACAATTACCTAATTACAATAGAGCAAT